ATTTGCAGAATGGGCAAAACAAAAATTGGAACAGGACCCTCAGTTCACGCAGAAGATTTTGTTCAGTGATGAGGCAAACTTTTATGTGAATGGTGAAGTTAACAAACAAAACCACCGCTATTGGTCTGACACTAACCCACATTGGATGGATCCCTCCAAGACTGTTGGAACAACAAAAGTGATGGTTTGGTGTGGTATATGGGGTACAACGATAGTGGGTCCATTCTTCATCAATGGAAACCTCAAGGCCACTGGATATTTGAAATTGCTACATGATGATGTGTTTCCCTCTTTATGCACTGAAGCTGGCACGTTCCCTGAGTTTTTCCAGCAAGATGGTGCACCACCACATTATGGGTGCCAGGTCCGAGCATTCCTAGATGAACAGTTTCCTGGAAAGTGGATTGGTCGTCGTGGGCCAGTTGAATGGCCCCCAAGGTCTCCCGATCTGACCCCCTTAGACTTTTATCTTTGGGGTCATCTGAAGGCAATTGTCTATGGTGTGAAGATACGAGATGTGCAGCACCTGAAACTACGGATACTGGATGCCTGTGCTGGCATTTCTCCTGCGGTGTTGCTATCAGTGTGTGAAGAGTGGGAGAAGAGGGTTGCATTGACAATCCAACACAATGGGCAGCACATTGAACACATTTTATAAGTGGTCAGAAACTTGTAAATAACTCATGAAAGAATAAAGTTACGTTGAAACCAAGCACACCATTGTTTTTCTTGTGACATTACCAATAAGTTTGATGTGTCACATGGCCCTCTTCCTATTGAAAAAACAAAAATTGTATCCAAGATGGCCGACTTCTAAATGGCCACCATGGTCACCACCCACCTTGAGGAGTTTTCTCCCTCACATATACTAATGTGCCACAAACAGGACTTTAATATCACCAACCATTCCCATTTTATTACAGTGTATCCATATAAATGGCCCACCCTGTAGAAACCTTGTCCTCTTTGATGGAGAGAAACAGTTTACTAGTTAAGCTGCTTGTGGATCACCTTTGACTGCTCCAAGATCAGTTATGCGCAAATGACATTGATTTTTAATCCCCAAGAAACAATTTGTCTGTTGCTAACCACCTTGGTCAAGATGAGTTATCCACTAGCAATTAGAGTCCACTGTTTTAATAGGTTTAAATAACTCTAACGCTTTAACAAGGTGTCTTTAATCAGATCAATCCGTTAACAGACATAGGACCATAAATAAACCAACAATCTCTAACTTTTGAAGAATCAATTTAGCACATTTAACATTTGTATTTATTTAGTTGCTATTTGTAAAAGAGCATTAATGGATTTTTCAGATTTCAAAACATTATGTGGCTTTCTTCTGTAATCATGAAGAGGAGTAAAAAAGTGGGAAAAATAAATCCGCGCAATCCCATCATTTAGTTGGAGTCCCTTGGAGTATTTAAACTTTCGGTTGTATAAAAATGAGCCATACCAGCATTTAATATATGTTCTTTTTTCCATTCTTTACATAAAAATGAAATGGAAATATGGAGTTTAAAGGGAAAAATCTTTATTTGAAATTTTTTTCCTCCATGTTTCTTTCTTCTTCTAGATTCTCAGTTGTCATCCTAACACCACATGTTATTATTGAAAACCAAAGACTCGTTGGAAATATAAAATGTTCCGTTTGTAAATTATGATTCCATAATTTATTTACAACTACAGGCAAAGAGGTGGGAAGTCAGTGAACTGTTGTCAGTCTGATAAGGCAGCTGATCACCGCATTAATATTGGGGAGAAAATTACATGTTTACTAATGATTGCAATGGCAAGACAAACAATCCAATCTAACTGTGTGGTTGTGGGTTCCTACTGAGCCTGGGAAGAGAGGAGGAGAAGGAAAAATTAATATTTCATAATCAGTTCTGTTTGTGAGCGCACACAAGAAAGTGACATGAGAGAAAAGAAGGATGCAAAGTGTGTGCTTTCTTCTGCATCCACCCAATAAACAATCACAGTATATGTTCAGCTGGGAACAGGATGTTATTTGTTTTAAGGGTGACAAATTATTGGAATTTAACCGGGAAGGTGTTTCAGTGACTTGTTTGGCTGCCACAACAGTGTGGATGTGCTGAAACTTTACGGTAGGGATAAAACACTCCAAAAGATGCTGGTGGTAGAGAATACTGTTTAACACTATAAACCAAAATCTAACACAGACTCTGCACTAGCATGCTGGGGGCTTCCCATGATGAACTGAGTATTTCTTCTTCACTATGTGACTGTCAGTCACTATGTGTTTAAACACCACTGTACATTTAATCATTAGTTATTATTAATCTCTGGCTGTCTTCCAGACTTTGTCATAACAGGCTGCCCCTCCCTGAGTCTGACGATTCTTCCTGTTAAAAAGGAGTTTTTCCTTCCCAGTGTCATCAAGTGCTCACTCAAAGATTGTCGTTGTTTTTTTCCAGTTGTATTGTAGGGTCTTTACCTTACAATACAAAGACTTGTATTCAAGTCTTGTACAAAGTCTGACTGTTGTTGTGATTTGGCGCTATATACATGAAACTGAATTAAACAGATGGATAGATAGATCTGTGTGTGTGTGTGTTGTATGTGTGAGTGATGGGGATTTAAGCACTGACAATGTAAAAATTGCATGTGGTTAAAGCTCACGGTCTAGGTTGTTGGTGCAAATGTCCATATGTGATAGAAGGGAGAAAGCCTCAGTGCTGAAAAGCAGTTATTAATCACAGTGCAAGCGTTGATTCATCAGTTGTTGAGGCAGTTTGGAAGATAGAGTCTATTTACTGCTAAAGTTGTTTGAGGGGCTTTGGGGAGGCAGCCATCAATCTCTTGGCTATCTTCAAAAAGAAGGAGCCAATGCACAGGCATCAGTTTCAATCACCTCCCAGAGACAGGTGGAATGGTAAGCTGCTGCACAATAGTTTTGTCTTTACTTCTCTACTTCTTTACCTCAAGGTGATTTTTTTTCCTCCCTGGGGAAGCATGTTAATAATGCATTTTATCATAATAATAATAATATTCTCTAAAAATAAATACTGCACCTTGCCCTTTTGCTCCCTCGGTGTTTGGCACCCCACATTGCTAATTAGCATCTTCAATTAACCCACATTAATTGCAAGCCATGGAAAGGTGGAGGAACCTGGCAAGTTAGTGCCACAGGGAACTGCTTTGTAAATGATTGGTGGTGTAATACAGGCGTGTAAAAAGGGGTTCTGTACTAGTGCTCTTTTAACCTCAATCTACAAATAACTCTTCAATGTAATCCTATACACATGACATTGTAAAAAGCACGGCTAAACTAGAGAACTGATGTTGTTTTATAGTGCATGGTGGTCCCGTGTAGTTAAACAACAATCACACTTGGTTTTTGAGCCACATCTTTCCCCCCTACCTCCGTTTTTCATCTAAGTCAGTGGGGCCCATTACCTCTGCAGGAGTCTAATGGTAACACTTTTGCATCTATTGCTCCCTCTTTCTTAATATCATCTTCGTTTTGTTTTGCATCACAGGGGGCATTATCAGAATTGTGCTTCACGATGTAAAACACTTAATGACTTTGTTTTGGTGCTTTGATCAATCTTGGCGTTTTTGTGTCCGTTCAAATTAAATACAAAAAACAGAGGACTTTTTTTTTACATAAAAATGTCATATCGCAGTATTAACTTCTAAATCATCACAGTAAGGAGCAACATCTAAAATATACAGAATGCCTTGTTGGAGGATTACATCACTGGCAAAGCCTCCTTAGCCCAGTTCATTCACACAGCACTATTGGACCATTAATGCAGTCAGCACTTTAGTGTAACACCAGGGGAGCTCCCAAGGCCCCCAGATACACCGGAATCAATTGGAGTTGGATGCGTTAGCAGTGCAGAGCGCAGCCAGCATAGTCTTGAGTTGGTGTTCATGAGAAGTGAAGGGGTGATAGAGGTCACTAAGAGCAGCTGATTTCACCAAAAAACAGAATGCATGTGTTTTCTCTTTTTTCTCTCCTGTAAATTCTCCTACAGTTACCACCTTCTAACCCTTAATTACTGCACTATTACAGTTTGGCCCTCAGTGGAGCTGGGACCGTCCATCACCTGACACTCAGTTTGTATGTGTCCTCTCAACCAAAGTGAAAAAACGCATTCATGTAAGCAATTCCAAGAGTGTGCTTCCACAGTGTTAGAGCACAGTCTTTAACCACATTTTGTATCCTAGTGTTTCTTTTTGATAACAATACTGTTAGATTGTTGCAAAACTATACTTTTCTTAGATGGTCCAATTCAGTTGACTCACCTGCTCAAGTCTTGGCTATAATTATATGAAAAATTAAGCAATAAAAATAATAAATATCTTCGAGATTAAAGCTGAAGGCTCAAAAGTGAAATAAAATGAAATGATGACCAGCTCCGTGGAACTTTTTCACTGTAGTCTGTGATTCACGTTCAATCAAAAAGGAGATTTAAAGGATCAAGTTATTTGGATTTTGATTATTCTGTGCTTCAGATCACAATGGTGCGAGCATACAATCAGTTAGACACGCTGAGTAGAGAGGAAGTTTGATTACCCGCTGATTAGAACAACTTTCCTCTCTAGTTATCATTGGTGAGATAGACACTAATCCGAGTGCTGATTGGTAGAAAAAGATCTTAGCAAAAAGCATTCTCTGGGTAACAAGGTCATATGAGAAGAAAAAAAAAGACAAAGTTCACATTAAGAAGTTTAGACTCAGTAACTTGTGAAAAAAATGAGTATTTGTATTTCTATTGTGTAGGTAAAAAGACAGATGATTGGCATTACTAGTCAAAAAGGAATATGTGAATCTTTTAAACAGAATATATAGGCACATATCATTTTATTCAAATAAAAATATATTTTCTCAAATGTTCATGTTGATTTTTGTGCACTATTTTAAGAAATTTGGTGGTTCCAAGCTAGAATCCTATAACTTTGCACTTAAAATGTGCCAAAAAAAATGCGGTCTATTAGTTGACGGTATCATGTTGTTTTTTTTCCCTTACTCTGAGGAAGGTGAGGTCACGACTGCGGTCAATGCTTGTGATCTCGAGGTTGCCCATTACAACTTCACAGCTCTCATAGTATTTCCTCAGAGTGCGATACTGCTGCTCCAGGTCCGACAGCGTGCTCAGCTTGTTCTCCGTTCCAGCACATACTACGAAAAGAGAGGAGAAGAGAAATAAGTCAGTTGTAATCCAGCTACATTCATTTTTTTGACTGAGGATGGGTTTGGACATTGCCCCAAAACACCTCAATGCTATTGTTAAAACCTGTATTTTGGATTTCTAACAAAGTATAAAATGTTTTGTATGTATAAAAGGGTTTTAATGTAGAAATTTAAATAAGGACAACAATTTAGGAAAAGACATATAAACAGCTTGTTTTTCAGCACCACACCTGTGCTGCGAAGAATCTAGAGTGTTGTCATGTGACTAAGCTGACCATGTAACACGATGCAGCCACTGAACCACTACACCACAAGGCCTTCCTAGAGCTTCCCTTGGTGCCTACAGGGCAGATGAGAGCTCTTTAGTACCTAGCTGCGCTGCTCACTTTAAAGGTAATTAAACAGGACCATTTCCACCCATCACATACCTTGCACACTCAAGATGACACAAGCCATCTGCCCTATCAGCTGGTGTTCCCTAGTCTAACATTAAAACACACATGTATGACTGCATGGACACAAACAGATAAATCCCAAGGTTTGTGGCTAAATCTTGAATCCCTATGAAATTAAACATCATTTGCAGTTCCTGCCCACCTATATTCCTTTACTAGTCTTAAAATATAAGCCACATTCACAATAAGGTATTGCCTTAGTGTTTTCACTTAGGCACATTTTGCAAACTTGCTGATATAAGCCCAAGTTACAGATGTACATTGACATTTGCTCCTTTTGAAGAATTAGCTTCATTTCCACACACTGTCATGGCAGTGTGGTTTCTCCCACCTGCACCCTGTTCACGCTTGATAGCAGTGAAGCCATCACTGTGACCGAGGGGTGGTGGGTCCTTCCAAGAGTCTTGTCACACTGTCTCCCTTGAGCTGTAGCCTCTCTCTGTGAGCACATCCACCTCAAAAGATCTTTACTGATGCTTTGCATTTCAATCCCACCCTACTATGTGCTATACTGCAGTCTCCATCACATACCTTAGATCACTCTCAGTCCAACTTGCACTCTGTCCACTCTGCTAGCAAAACATATGCCACAACCCATTTACACCGTTATCTTCACACAGGCACAATGCAGAAAAAATAGTTCTTATTCACTCCATTGATTACACAATAGATATATGTGAGGAGAAGAAGATTCAACCTCAGGGCAACAAAGGCTCAAAAGACAAATGAAACTGTGTTTAAATACTTCCACATGTAAGCAGATATTAGATAAGTGGAGCTATTCTTCTATGACCTGGACAATACCTATTCTATCTGGGGCTGATTAGCTATGTTGCGCATAGCATTCCGTGCTGCTCAGGAATGATATATAGCAGACCTGGGTGTTTTCAATAACAGTTAGCGTGGGCTTGAGGGGAGCGGGGTGGAAGTGGTGGGGGCAGGTGGTGGGGTGGGTCATAAAGTGAAGATAGGTGTAATAAACTGTTATTGCACCCTTGAGGCAGAGCGCCGAGATCAGAGGAAAGGGGCATTGTGGCATGTGATGATGTGATGTCTGGTGAAATTTACTTTTTCGTACCCATTTGCAGACCTTCAGTAAGTCTGCTGACTTTTGAAACCTGTCTAATGCAATGTATAGAATGTTTACATTTTTTTTTCTTTTTAAATGTGACTTCTAATGACCTACCACGAAAGCTCTGCATGAGCTTGAGATGGTGCTGGCTGCCAAGTGAACCACAACTAAACCATCTGTGCATTTATACTGTAGAGGATGTGTGAACTGTTAAAGGTTTACTGCAGAGCCCGGTGCTCCAACTGGTGTAGACTCTTATGTCTGCATGTGTGTGCGTGAACGTGGGCAGGCTGTAAACAATAGACCTCAGGATGTATTTTCCCCTTCTCATCGCATGATCGAATCCATTTGTCTCCATGCTCAATACGATACATCTGAGTCCGTATGTCACACTAAAGGTTGCATAAAACAATTGGACAACCTGCCCACCCATGAGCACAAGCTATAAGATGCTGAATTGTGAATTGTTTAACATGCTGCCAGGAATACAGGAATATACTGCAAGAACAAATGAATCTTCATACTGTTTAATGCTTATGGCTATTCCACAAAAGGAAATCTATGTCATCTGTTTGATATATTTCACTCTCTGGCACTCTCAATGCTGAGAATGCCAATGAGTTTAAGTGTCTTTCGTCCATGTATGAAGGATAATTGCCTGTGAGAGTAAATTGATGTGATGTGTTTGCAGAGAATTTCACCTCAGAAGTGATACATCGTAGCGATAAATCATAATAACACAACATTTCCCAATACATGTAATTAATGAGACTGTGTGCCAATGGGGAAAAAATGCACACGGCTCAATTTCTATGGTCTCGAACAGCATATAAAGGCTTTTGCAGCAAAGCTTGCATTTAGCCAGATAATGCGAAACCGCATATTTATCAAGTAAATAGATAAACAGACAGAGAGCTCCCATGTATCTTTGACAGACAGCCGCCAAAAAAGACGACAATGCATCTATCACCGTTTGACACGATCAAAACCTTCAGCAGAGAGTAAATTCTTTACACAAAACAAAACAATGTTTAAGTCTTTGCAAACAGGCTGAAATGCCCCTTAGCTGTATTTTCATCCATTTTAATTTCATAAATATCCTCATCAGGATTACACGGGAACTTTAGTGTTGTGATTTCTGATCCCTTCTCATTTCCTTTGGTTGTGCACACAACAACTTCATCAATAGTGCCTTGTGCGACTATTGAATGCCTATAAAGCTGGTGAGCCTCCGAGGTTTATAGGCTCCTGCCAGTGAAGCCAGCAAAAGGTCATCCCAATAGCAAGTAACTGACCGAATTAAATAAAGTTGCAAATGTCACTTCCTTGAGTAAACACTGTCAATAGCTGAACTTCGTCAGCGTGAACTGAATAAATAGGAGTACCTTGTAGAAATAAGCTTTACACAGTGGAAAATACTACATTTTCTGTCAGGCACGTTGAATAAAGTACCATATTTGAGGTCAGAGTTGTCCTTTGTCCCCTAATGTCTCCCAGATGAGCCTCAGTGGCTAAGTGTGAGTTACAAGCCACTGCCTCGGATGGTAATCATGGCCTAGATTATCGTCCATCTGCTGAGCAGTTTAATAAGCATCAGAAACAATAACTAGATGAGTGTTCGTGATAACGGCACGGTCCAGTAACACTAACCTCTCGTTGCCCTCTGAGCTCTGGTCATCTACCAACAATGCTGTCGCTGTCTCCATATGGTCTACCATAAATTAGCAATCGTGTCATCAGTGGTGCATATTTCCAACACCTTGTGAGAGTTTTCCACAGAGGATAACTTGCTGTTGCTGTTATGCACTCTCGCTCCCCTACAAAAGCAGACAGCATTGCATGCATTTTAAATATTAAAACAAATACTATTACTGGTACTATTTAGGCTCACCTTCTTTTTCACCTATTTTAACGGTATTTGCTTTCAGTGAACAAGCTCAAACACTTTGAGATTTCAAAACCAAAACAACAACAGAGAATGTATACTTTATGTTACTTTTTGTAATTGCAGTTTATCTGTATGTTCTCTGCCTCCTGCTGTCAAGCTACAACTCCATAAACAAAAAAGAAAAAGCCAGCAATCCCAGTGTCTGATTTGGTTGTTGCCATTACTTATGATTACTGTTGCTATTAAAAGAGTAAATATACAATTATGTAACACAGCACAGCATAGTGTAGATATCACACCTACTGAGTTAGTGTCATAAAACGTTATTAAAAATTGCTGATGACAAATTGCAGATTTAACTTTATTTCAAATGTATGTATTTAAATGTAAATGAAATGTATTTTGCAATCCAGTAATTACTATGGTGAAACTGTGGAGAACAGTGTGCTTCACTCTACCCTATTTTTTCTCTCTTAGCACTCTGCTCTCAGTATTTCAGTGGGATTTAAAGTTGTCTCCAGACAAAAAAAAAAACCCACCGAAGTCACAGCGGAGTGATTGGCTGACACTGAAACACACCTCATTACCCCAAATCCTCTAGCTTCTTCTTCCTGACTGAGTCCACGACTGACAGTAGGTATAGTGAAAAGACTTCTAGACCTGCACTGACCTGTAGAAATGCTTTTGAGTTTGTCTGATCTTCCACTTTGGCTTACGCCTGTAATGCACACGTTATAGTGTGCAATAATAATAAAGGACACATTAAGAACCACTGAATGACTCTCAGAGCCCTCGCATTTTGCCTGCAGAGCCATCATCCATAGACATGGACTGCCACAGCACCTGGACTCCCTAGGAACACAGACCTCAGCTCTGCCTTTAGTAACGTCATTTCAGTTTTGCTGTATAAAATAAATTGCAGGTGGATGAGAAACTTCTTGTTTGCACCACGTGAAACTGTGAAAGCATGATGATATCCACAATCAGTGAGGCTTCCTGACAAGACTGTGTTCCTCCTGCTGTACTCTTGTCCCTGCACACCAACAGCTGCAGTGTGCGATCTGTCAAACTCAAATGTTTTCTTTGGCTGGGGCGAGTCCACTTACAGGTGGGAGATTAACTATCTGGTTGCCACGTGCGGTCCCATTCAATAACAAACAAACAAAAAAAGAACATCAGAGCATGTACAGAGCATGTACTTCCTGTAGCAGCTGAAGAAGGTCAACCTGCCAAAGACTAAGATGGCGCACTTCTACACCTCCCCTGTCCATCCTCACCTCCTCTATCACCATCTGGTATTCTGCTGCCACTGCCAAGGACTACAGCACGTCATTTGTTCTGCTGAGAATGTGATTGGCTACAATCTGTCATGTCTCCGGGACCTGTACACCTCTAGGATTCTGAGGCGGGTAAGAAAAATTGCAGCTGACTTCTTCCACCACAAAAACAAACTCTTTGAATCATTCTCCCTCCAGGGTGGAAGCTGTGGTCTATCAAGTCCTCAACCTCAGGCCCCAAAGAACTGCAGATGGCCTCATCACCACCACAGACCTTCATGCCACCCCATAGACAC